GGGGCCCCCCCGGGTCGGGGCGGGGGTGGCGAACTCGGAGGGCCGCGGTGGTGGGGCCGTAGGCCGGAATGGATGCGGATGCCTTGCCCCTCGTTCTGGTTTGCGCCGTAGCTTTGAGGAAAGTCCCCGGGCCCCTCGCTCTCCAGCGCGGGAGCCGCTCCCGGGGGACCGCCGCCTTTCAGGTGTGCTGTAAACAGCAGCCGCCCAGGGTGCCTGCTGCTAGAAACCAGTGCTCCTGGTGCAGTTAAGTACTTGATGGCGGCCCTCCTAAGAGGTGGAATGTCTGCCTCACGGTACTCTCCTAACAAGAGGAAAGAAACCTTTCTTTTTTATTATTATTCTTTAAAAGAGGGGGGTAATGATAGATACCCATTCTTGGAGCCTTATGTGGGAATGAGGTGGCTGAGGTTACTGCTTTCCTGGTGTGCGTGCTTGTGTGGATCATTTCTTATCCTGTTTCGGTTCATGTTACCTCCGTTTTAAAAACAACTTAAATTTTAAGCTACTTTTAAAATGCTGTCCTGTAAACTGTGCCATTTCGGATGTTCATTAGCAGAGTACTTCAGATAGTAGAGATATGGAGGACTTTTTGTGTGTCGTTTAACCAGACATGACAAAATAGGATTCCTACTTCCAAGCGGCTGTAAAACACACAAGTTTCTTGGATGCAAGCTGGTGTGTGGTTGGAAGTGGTCTTTTTAAAATAACGTAGAGCTTAGATTAGACTTTAGGATTGCTTAGTCCTTTGCTTCATTAACTAATAAAAGTGCTTCTGTTGGTTATATTGACCCATTAATATCAAAGTAGCACTTTGCTATTTCATACATGTTTAGCACATCCCAGATAATGCACTTTTAAGGGATTCTGTCCAAAATAGATGTTCTAATCAGTATATATGCTGGTTTAAGCAACAAGCATGACTTAATGGTCTTAATCATTATCCTCCATTAATACAGAAGTTTTGTAAAATCCTTTAACAGAACTGACAGGAAGCAACTAAATTAAGTTTGTTTTTTTTTTTTATCTTTAGTGTGAAAAAAATGGAGATGTCAAGAAGAGAAGGTCAAATCAGGCAGATGTCCCCGATAATCTTCGTCAAGAAGCAGAAGCATGCTATCGGCTTAGACTGCCTGAAGACTTCTATCAGTTTTGGAAGTTTTGTGAGGAACTAGATCCTGAGAAACCAAGTGGTAGGTTTTTAAATATATTTTGCCTTCTCTTACTTTCACTCTCAAAAACAGCCTGGAGGCAGGCAAGCTGGAGATGGTCAGATGCATTCTAATGCTGCTTTAGTTTTCAGTTAAGATGCAGCATATTTACGTGAGTGTAAACAAGAATACTGGAGGTAATCATGAAGATGTTGGTACACTTCAAGCTTTCTAAGATACAATTACTTAAATCGTGTAATACAGAGGGACTAAATCTGCCTTTCTTGCAAGTATATTTAAAATGTTTAGTGTGGAACTGAAGTTTCCTCATATCGATCCAGGTTTCAGCTTCCCCAAATTTATTATATAACAGAGTGTGGCATCCCTAGGCACTCCAGAAATGACGGTTTCTTTTAGAATCATAGAATGGTTTGGGTTGGAAGGGACCTTTGAAGGTCATCTAGTCCAAACCCCCTGCCATGAGCAGGGACATCTTCAATTAGATCAGGTTGCTCAGAGCCCTGTCCAGCCTGACATTGAATGTTTCCAAGGATGGGGCATCTACCACCTCTCTGGGCAACCTGTTCCAGTGTTTCACCAATGTCATTGTAAAAAATGTCTGTCTTATATCTAGTCTGAATCTGCCCTCTCTTAGTTTAAAACCATTACCCCTTGTCCTGTCGCAATAGGCCCTGCTAAAAAGTCTGTCTCTGTCATTGTTAGAGAACCCCTTTAAGTCCTGAAAGGCGGCAATAAGGTCTCCCCGCCGTCTTCTCTTCTCCAGGCTGAACAACCCCAGCTCTCTCAGCCTGTCCTCATAGCAGAGGAGTTCCATCCCTCTGGTCATTTTTGTGGCCCTGCTCTGGACCCGCTCCAACAGGTCCATGTCCTTCCTGTGCTGAGGGCCCCAGAGCTGGAGGCAGTGCTCCAGGTGGGGTCTCACCAGAGCAGAGCAGAGGGGCAGAATCACCTCCCTCGACCTGCTGGCCACGCTGCTTTTGATGCAGCCCAGGACAGGGTTGGCCTTCTGGGCTGCAAGCACACATTGCTGGCTCATGTCCAGCTTTTCATCCACCAGCACCCCCAAGTCCTTCTTGGCAGGGCTGCTCTCAATCCCTTCATCCCCCAGCCTGTACTGATACTGGGGGTTGCCCTGACCCAGGTGCAGGACCTTGCACTTGGCGTTGTTGAACCTCAGGAGGTTTGCATGGGCCCACCTCTCCAGCCTGTCCAGATCCCTCTGGATGGCATCCCATCCCTCAGGCGTGTCACCTGTACCACTCAGCTTGGTGTCATCTGCAAACTTGCTGAGGGTGCACTCAATCCCACTGTCTGTGTCATTGATGAAGATATTAAACAGTACTGGTCCCGATATGGACCCCTGAGGGACACCACTTGTCACCGATCTCCAGATGGACACTGAACCGTTGACCACTACTTAGGAGAAGTGTAATAACCTAACTCTTGAATGAAAGCTATCTGAATAAAAGAACATCTCAGCTTTCCTTGTCTGGTAAACAAGTGTTTGACTGTTTGGATTTATGGAAGCTTTTGGTACCTGAGTGACAGAGGAACTTCTTGGTTTATGCACCCACCAGAAAGTAAACAAGTTCATGCTTTGCTTTTCAGATGCACTTGTGTCAAGTGTTGGACTTACACTGGTTGGACCATATGATATTCTTGCTGGAAAACACAAAAAAGCAAAATCAACAGATGTGGACTTCAATCTTCATTGGAGATTCTTCTATGATCCTCCAGAATTCCAGACTATACTTGTTGGCGATAGCAAAACACAGTATCACATGGGATACTTCAGGTATTTTATTTAATATATGCTCTTGCTGGACTATAATTATGTGTAGCTTTTTCTCCTCTTTTCCACGAGATAGGATTTGAGAACTGTGCACTATCACCAAACAAGAATCTTTCTCTTCTGTAACAGGATATTAACATGTGGGTTGATATCTTTTATTAAAAAAGACCAAAGATACTGAAGACTAGATTTAAGTATTTATTAAACTACCTCTCTCAGCCCTCCAGAGCACCTTCACTTATTAATCTTTAAGTTTTGCTATGATATTTAGAAGAAAAAGTCAAGCCTTATGGAATAAAGGGAATGTGTATTCTCTCTGCATGTACTGATACAAGCTCCTTTCAACATCCTGCTCTAAGATCTTAGAGCTTTAGATCTAAGGGTGTTTCTTGTTAGGTTTCTGAAGGAGATGGCAGCATGGTGAGGAGGCAAAATAATTTTACTTTGAAATAGGAGAAATGGACACAGCTTGATTACTTGTGTGTACTTTTTCATAAATAGGGATGTGCCAGATGAGCTCCCGGTGTGGGTTGGTGCAAATGAAGCTAAGAAGGGCTGCGTGATTTCACAAGTTGGTGATAATGTCTTTGCTGCAGTCAAGTAAGGTTCATATTTACTTCTATTTATGAAAAGTAGAGTAGAAGAGAAACTTGATTGGGAGATGTGATGTGGAATAATGCAGCTAACTTTTATATCTTTCTTTCTCAAGAAACCCTCACTTATTTTCTGTTCCTGTTAGCAAGTTTAATGGTACTCCTCAAAAGTCTTAATAGGCTTCTTGACAGTGTTTTCCTCTTACAAGTAAAATAGATAGGTGTTAATTATCTCATTCTTTAAGTATGTTGGGAGGGATAGGCCCGATAGGGGGAAAAAAAAAATGCCCAGTGGGTGTGTTAAAATACTTCATAAGTAAAGAAAGGGCGTCTCAAACAGTGGTGAAGGAAATCTGAATATCATACTAAATGCGTAGCATCTAGCTCTTGGTTTTGCCTGCAGAAAAGTACATCATTTTTGTATGTAATGAATAACTACGAGAAGTACCATTTCTGACCTGGGGCAAGATAACATTTTTATGGATATGGAATTCGATATGATTCATGAAGCTTTACATGGTCCTGCATCATGAATGTAAACATCAGGTTTCATGACCTGTCAGTTAAAAATGGAAAGCTCTCTAAGGACAGGCGCGTGTCAGTAAGTGAAAGCATACTGAAGAAAAGCTTTGGCAAAAGAACCCTTGTGTAGTGCAGAGTTAAACGAGGCCATTTGTTTTGAAAGCACTATGATGAAACTCATAAATATGTATTTATGTGCATGACTTGGATGACAAATAGTGTATATGGCACTGCAGCAGCAAACTGAATTCTTAAGATAGAAAGATGAACAGCTGCTGAGTCCAGGAGAATCTTCAGCACCTGCAGATGGCATAAACTATATTGTAATGCAAATACAGATAGGAAATGCCAAAGTACTGCCTGTGCCAAACTTCTTTTCTTCCTTGTTGTTAAGAGGCTTGCATTCCCAAGCCTGTGTGTATAAATAAACACGTGACTGCTAATCTTCATTATAAGATTTGGAGGTTTAGTGATTAGAAGGCTATTCACTTGTTTGTTTTCTGTTCAGATCTTTTAAGACATGTTTCTTCTGTTTGCAGATTATTTTTGTCAAAAAAACTTAAGGAAGTGACTGATAAAAAGAAAAACGCTATTTTGAAAGACATAGATGAAAAGCTAACAAGAACAGCAAAAGAACTGGGTTATTCTCTGGAACAAAAAACCATGAAGATGAAACAGAGAGATAAGAAAGTATGACTTTCTGATCCACTGGAGAGAACTAAGTTCTGTTAACCTTTTTTCATTTACTTCCCTGGGGTTTTATTATTATTATTATCATTTTTTAATTTTTCCCCCTAGTCAGTAAAGATGCTTCATTTAGGAATTTCAAGAGCTAATCACTTCTCTCTATAAAACTTCAGGAGAAGGAAGATTAATACAAATGTGTTCCAGATAATGGGATTAAATCAAAACACTTCACTCCTGTCAACCATAGCTTGGCATTCAATTAAAGAAAAAAAACCCCAAACAAACAATAAGGAAAATAGTCTAAAAACTAAACCAAATGGGGAGCATGGAGAAAACTGCTTCAAAGTGAAGATTCATGTAAACAGTTGGGTTGGATCTATTGGAAACGGGAACATTAAGGATGATATGGATTAGTAACAGAGGTTTTTCACAGACCTATCAGAAACAATTATGGTAGGGAGTGACTAAACAAATGTAGTACAGTGCTACACAAGTGACTGCAAGGATTCCTAGATTTCAGAACTTTGCTGAACTGGAGTTTCCAGTTATTTTAAACTTCAGTACTTAGCAGTAACTGCTATATACTTTAAAACTCAGTGGATGTCCTGGAGCCTGGACACTATGTTAGGTTTGACCACCAGCAGTCAGGTGGTGTTTAGTGAGGTGAGTGGTTTTATGTCACAGTATTAACTTACGGTGCCATATTCAATTTCCTGTCTCTTTAGGTGGTGACCAAAGCATTTCATGGAGCAGGCCTAGTTGTTCCTGTAGACAAAAATGATGTTGGATACAGAGAACTCCCTGAAACAAATGGTAAATATCTTCGTTTACTATATTCTTCTGCTTTATGTAAGTAAACAACCTTCACTCACACAGCTACTCTGCAAAAACCAAACTGCTTTCATATTTCCTACTTGAAGAATACGAGCGGTGGGAGTAAAAGGCCGAAGTCTTAACCGTCACACTTGAGCTCAAAGTATTTTCCTTAAATGAACCAGATGAGAATCAGTGAAACATGCTAAATCTGAAATAATAATTCCTGAAGTAGTAGTTTAGAAGACCCTCTCTTTTCTGTTGGCACAGCCATGCAGGAAGTAGATCCAAAGAACTGCTCTGCATTCAGGGATTTGTGGGTTTTATTTCTTATCCCCCCTCTTCTCCCAGTGTTGTTCTAATCAGAATCAGTTCCTTGATGCAAGTTCGTCACACAAATGCTCGTCTCTGTATGGGGAACTGAGATGGATGGGGACGGGGCAAGAATGAGCAGCAAAGGAAAGGGGGAAGCTTTTTCACCAGCAGCTCAGGGTGTGCCCACTTAGTCTTCATGTAAGCGTGACACATAGGTATGTTTTTGCCACAAACTACTTCTGTGCAATATTAAATTTCTTTATTTAAGCATCTAAATATTTCTGCTTCTGTTTCTTACAGCTAATCTTAAAAAAATCTGTAAGGCCATTGTTGATGCACCTACTGATGATGAGAGACTGAAGGCCTTTGCACCCATTCAAGAAATGCTCACCTTTGTTCAGTTTGCTAATGATGAATGTGACTATGGAATGGGATACGAACTGGGTATGGACCTGTTTTGCTATGGATCACATGTGAGTACTATGACAATCATACTTCAGAAAATTATGTATTATTTTAGGCACGGACCAGGAGTTGTTCTGTGTCATAAATATTTATTCCCAACTCTATCGCATAATTAGCCCTAGGAATCATGCAAGTCTAAAGAATATTCTTGATCTGTGAAGACTGTTGAAAAGTCACACTTAGGACACCATTCCATGTTGAATTTAAAATTGCTGGTATGAAAGCACAGTCCTGCAATCCAGAAGCATTTAACTGCTGTGATTCAGTGTGCATAATTCAAGGAGTTGCCATTAGACTCCTAAAACTGCAGAACGTCTGATCCAGGTGTACTGAATAGCTATGGCCCCCTGTCCCCAACTACCCGGATGGGCGCAAGCACGCATGTTCAACTGGATCAAGAAATAGCCTGATGTCTGTAGTAACCCCAGCAAAAAAAAAAGGAACCTCAGTCAGTTGCCGACCTGCGCTGCCTGTATGGCTGCATAAAACACCTCCCACCAGCTGGCTGCATCTCTACGCTTCTAGTATCTTTCTGGTTCTGTGCTAACAAATTATCATAAATAAGCTGATTGACTTAATCACATGTAAAGATTCTACTGAACGCTTTTTGTTCTGTATTAGCCGCTGGCCCGTTGATGAAATGGGTCATGTCCGTAACAAATCTATGGCTAGGAAATAACATTTAAAGAAGCTTCAACATCAGTGTAATATGAATGGGTGGTCAGAGAAACACCCGTGCAACATGGCTTCGTTTAGTAAAAACAGTATTGGCTAAGGGATGCTCCAGAGCATCACGTGGAAAGATCAAAATCTTGCAATACTAAATGTAGGCCCAGAAAAGTTGTGCTAAACACTAGTTCAAATATTTAGCCACTGAAATGAAGGAAAAATCACTGCTCCGCCCATACACTGTTAAATTACTAATGTGTTTCTCAGATGTCCTGCTCTGCTCTCACAAGTTCCCTACAGCATCTGAGAATGTGGTGGTACTTTCCTCTGATACCTTGCTTATTTAGGACCCTTCCTTCGGTGACTGTGCTGCTTCAGCTGCTTAATTCCTTCCTACGTCTGGAAGGAAAGTGACTTCTGGTTGGCTGAGCAGCTGGAGGCAAACCCCCATCTTTCACGCTTCGTGCTTCTTGGCACGTGAGATGAACCACTAGCAAACTTGTGCAATGAATGATTATGTCTTTGCAGCACTGTGACGTGGCCCGATACCTATCTTATGCAGCAATCTGAAACAGCTCTAATTTTGCAGCTACTTTCTGAAAATAGAAACCTTACTTCATTTTCCAGTGTAGGAAACAGAACGGAAAAACAATGGCTTTCCACATAAATAACGCCCCAGTTTGGCCCCAGTGTTTTTGCCTGCCTGTAGATGTTGAGAGCTGCTTTCTGGTTCTGACTAGAGCCCTGCCTGCAGAGCCAGAAGAAACACGGACACTTTATCCGTAGCCTCAGGCAGGAAACATGACTGAAACCTCTTCCCTTTCATAGGAGAGGTGTAGTGGGCTTACATGTACAGTAGCGATAACGAACGCTACATCTGCTCTGACTTGTACACATTTGGTAGTACTTACACATTCAGTCCTATTGTGATCCCCTCGAGCTGTGGAGTGTGACAGGAGCTGGGACTCCAGCCCAGCCTTCAGGCTGGACGACTCCATGCCTTAACAGTAGTGATCATCATCTCCTGCATCGCTAAAAATCGATTTCCCCCTCTCCGTGCCGCAGTTCGGTCACCCAGCCCGGCCTGGCTGTGGCCGTTACCGGCCCGGGGGGGGGCTGAGGACCGGGCCCTGGGTGGGGCAGGGCCTGGCGGGCGGGGTGCTCCCGCTGCACGACCACAGCCGTGACCCCCAGCTGCTCTTGTGTTCCCTCTCGCCCGCAGTACTTCCACAAGACGGTGGGCCAGCTGCTGCCTCTGGCTTACAGCCTGCTGAAGAGGGGCCTCTTCGCCGAGATCATCCAGTCGCACCTGGCCAGCCGGCGGGAGGAGGAGGTGGACCGGCTCGCGCCCTGAGGCGGCCGGCCGCGCGCTCCGGGCCCGGGCTTCGCTTTGTGTTGCCGCGTGCGCGCGCTCGGCGCGGCTGCCCGCGCTCAGGAAAAGCTTAGCGGAGGG